GAAACGAATATTTTTTGAAAAAATATGTGTGATGATGAAGATCATGAAGATATGTTAGATCCATGATGAGTTTAAGCCATGTTAAAAATAGTATAATTAATGAATGGGCCATATAGAAATGATTTAACAGGTTTTCTTTCTGGAGTGAAAAATTGAACCTACTTAACCAGTTAACTGTGGAATTCAGTTGGAAAAACCTCTGGTTCTGCGCGCAATAAAATAGGAAAATGGAGCGTGTACTCGTCGAGCACAGGGCGAATGCACGTAGAGTATATTTTAATGAAAGATCAAAAAGAAACAAAGAAGAATTACATGTTCATGTGAGAAAATAAAAACTTCATCGCTGAAAGAATTAGTATCATGTCAAGCATTACGATGACGTGTATACTCGTCAAACACAGTTAACTGGTTAAACCTTGTATAAATTATAATCTGCTTTATTGGCACTACCTTGACAAAATTTCGGACCACAAGTTACCTGGCATCGTAAACTCAAAGTACCAAATTTGAGACACCGGCGATTTACGCTAATAAGTCATAAAAAGTCATTTGCAACAAGTAGTACAAAATAAAGAAATTGCAGAATATCAACTGTGATAAATGGAAAATATATTTTCTTATTTATCTTTGGTTTATTATAAACGTTAATTCCTTTTCCAAAGTGTAATGATGACCATCTTACCAAAGTAATGTTTGAAAATAGATTTTCCATTTTCATCTCATGTATTATGGTTTATAATTTAATGCTAAAACATAAAACATGTAAAATATATCAAAATAAAACATATGAAATAAAATAAGATTTGATTATTTTAAATCAAATTTGAGCAGTCATTTTTATTGGATAAACGTTCTTTATTTCATGAAGTCTTGACAGCTGCCTCTGGAAGACTTTGCGTTAGTGCGCTATTTTATTCACCTACGATAATGCTATTCATTTCTTTCATTCAATATTTCGAATAATAATTATTTTTATATTTCACTTGTTTAATCTATACTTTGTTTCGAACAGCTGTTTGTCTTATTTTTAATTGTACCTTAAAAATGACTGTTCTATCAAATTAGAATTTGAAACTAACTAAATTCTGTTAACAGTTACAAATACAAATGAACAATTTTGTAATTCCTTTCGTTCTGACTTATATTTTCATTTTTTATCGTTACCTTTATTTTATTTACTTAAATTGAAACAAATAACACTTAAGCTATTTTAAACGATGAATTGTACATCATGTAGGAACTACAGATCTCACCTACCAAGAAGAAGTATATTCGACGCCATGTAAAGTTCAATTATACTCCAATTTGATTGCTACGGCCAATTAATGCATTACAACTCATTGTTCTGTTGTGGTCCTACCGTTAATTAAATCATTCTGCATATAAATTGATTCCAATGTGCTTCAGAACCGGTGATTACCTGTAGTTACTTGGATACGTTTGATTAAGTGGAAAGAAATTAATGACTGCGTGAGTCGCGTATGAGTATTACGGGCTAAATTCCAAAGCTTGCATCATCGTAAACTGAGACTCATTATCAACGATATTGCAAATTTCGTCGAAACACGTAACAGCTAACGCAGATTACACAATTATGTAATTCAGATATATTGCATTGAGTCTATCGCAGTATGCACTGATTTCCTGCCTTGTGATAAACGGCGCAGTTCGAACTAACGCTTACAAACTAGCACAAAAAAGGAGTAGAGACAGTTATGCAAGTATTAACGACTCCAACTTTACAAGCAATAATTATGATCATAAAATGATTGGCATACGAAAAATTACTTTTATCTATTATAATTAATGCTTATTTCATGAGATATTCGTTATGTTTATAATTTCACTATTATTTTTCAATAATTTTCAGTATTTTGTCATTCTTTTAAAATTTTCTGAAACATGCAAATATATCATTGTATTTATTGCTCCTATAATAAATTTTAATTTTTCTACATCATAGTAATTTATGTAATTACGAACTGTTATGCGAATATATAAACTGTTATTACGGTCATGTTTAATTAATGTATAAAGATTGATGAAATGTATTTCTTCTTTCTACCACATTTTATTTAAAAATATTATATTGCGTCAGTTATACATTTGTTAGCAGATTCTATTTGTTATACCTATTTATGTATCTTTCTTTCTGGCTTCTTTCTTTCAATCTGTTTTATTCTTCGGAGAAACGTCATTCGCAATAAATTTATTAACTTTATTCCATCACGAGCAATTTTATCTCTAATTCTCCCATCAGTTTCAATGCCGTTTAACAATACTTTCATCGAACTGGTCACTAACATGTTAGGAGCACGGTAGAATACTTTATATTGAATTTGTAAAACAAAGAAGGAAAATATAAGATCAGTAATTTCATGACCCAACTTGGTCTAAGAAATTACAACACTTCACTGTTTTCATGCACTCTCTAAGTAAAAACATGAAAATTTACTTTATTACATCTTTATTTCTTATATTTCCGTTAAAATCCTGTCTGAGCAAATACTATCGTGATTCATTGTATTTCCTTAACACTTAATCGTTTATACCTTGAATTACGTCATTCTTAGTCTTCACCGTCACCATTATCTCAAGTGTCTAAAAACCACTCGATTAATTCAATTTAAACGAAATCCAAGCCTGCATAAATTAAAATGAATCTAGAAACAAATTCAAGGTGGCAACTTCCGGATAAATTTCAGTAAGAACGCGTAGGGCACAAACCGTCCACGACGAGAAAAGAAGAAAAGAAGTAGAATAGCCAGATCGCGAAATAGCACAGTGATCGAAGCGCGGTACGAACTATGGTTTGTGCGCGCCCCTGCAAAAGGTCCGAGAAGCCGAACAAATAAATGCTGAAAAGAGGAACAAAACCGACATTATGTGGCATTAACATACAAAGTATGTCAGACCTGCGGTCCGGAGGCATAACATAGTATCGCGGCGTTCGCATACCCCGCCCGCTTCGCAGTGACCAGAAGGAGGAACAGAGGAACGTTGAAAAAAGACCGATCCCAAAAGCGGTGAACGGAGAGAGAATCAGGGCAGGGTTAAGAAGGGAAGAAGGACAAAAGGGGAAAAAGAGGGAAGGAGTGGCCGTCGAATGTGTTCAAGCAGAACGGTAAAACATGAACGGCAGAGAAAGAGGGAGCGAGGGAGAGAGAGAAAGAGAGGAAGAGAGAAAGAGAGAGATGGCGGAATGATGAACGCAGGAAGGTGTGCGTGCCGTGGAAAAGGAGTAAGGAAACGGAGAACGAAGGATGCGGGAGAAGGAGAGGATCGCGAAGAAGCGGAGAGGAGCGTTTACGCTATTCGTAGTCCCCCGAAGTCCCGTCCCATCGTTTCGTTGTCCTCGTGTGTGCCACGCGGTGCGGCTTAACGCAAAAGGGTCCCAGAGCGGGAGCAGAGTAACAGAACGCGCAGGAAAGGGAAAGATCCGAAGGCAGCCGATGGCAAAACGAAAAATCGGTCCGCATATATCGAGCCGGCCTGCGACGACGACGACGACGACGGCGGCGGCGGCGGCGGCGGCGGCGACGAGGATGAGGAGGACGAGGACGACGACGACGACGACGACGACGACGACGACGGTAGTAGTGGCGGCGGCGGTGGCGGCAGCGGCGGCGACAGCGGTGGGAGACACATATAAAACGAAGGATTCCTTGTGTTCCTGCTGCCTAGTGGACTCCCAGTCGGTTACTACTAGTGATGGCTGTAACTTCTATCTACTACAAAATTTCCAATCAATAAGGGGATGATATTTAGCCTTTTATATTTGTTCTTTACATTTTTGTCAATTCCGTTTATTTTTTGAGTCGAACGTTGGAATTAAGGTTTGATTCGTGGTTAATCAGATTTTTAACAATTGAAACGATCAAATATTATATTTTATGGAAATGAGATTTTTGTTTTATAAACTGGACAGCGAGCGGTTTCATTCGGAAGATTATCTACATTACAATGTAGAATTATTAACGTATTAATAACTGTTATTCGTTTTGAAATTTTTAGATTATTGTAATTATGTTTTGGACTTTGTAAAATATGTATATACCTAATAAATCATAGACAAAAGATGTTGGACGTTGAAATCGTTATAGTGATTTTTTTTGTTAATATTAAATGAAAAATATGAAAATTTGTCTTTATATTTTTTGGGGTTTTAGTTAAAATATCACGCGGTAAACTAAGGTTTCTTGATGAAATATATGTAAATATAAATGACCTCGGTTTAATATAGATATGTCTTTTAAAATTGTCGCGATATAAGTCGTGTTGCATCTATAAAATAAAAGATACGATTAGGTTCCAAATAAAACAAACACTATTTTATTTAATTAAAACAATATATTTATTAAAACTATTAATAATTCTTGGAATACATTGTACATTAATACCAAGTAATGCTCCCAAATTTGTTCATCTTTATCACTACTGAGCATTCTTAAATGAAATTATTTTTTTTGCAACAAAATTTCCATTTTGAGTTTTCCTCTGCTACATTCTTATTTCTGTTTTGCTATTTTTTAAAAAATCTTTTAGTTTTCATTTTCATTCTTTCATGGTAGATATTTGCAAATATTTTAATGTGGACCGACACAAATATTACTCGTATTCATACATACATACAATTAATAGACGTGTATAATCGTAATTCATAAATAAATTAAATGTTTTTATTATTTCCCTCCAATAATGTAAAAATTAATAAAAAAAATTTTCAATTTGATCATTTGAATAAAATTCATCTACTTTTAAATTAACTTATAAGTAACATTTATGTAAAAAGAAAAACTTATTTTTCTCATGAAAAGTAATGATATGTAAGAATAAAAACTTTATTGAACTTGTTTAAATATTTATTTATTTTGTTTACACGACTTACACAACACTACTAAACGTATTTGTCACGTTTTTTCTATTCGTGTTCGAGGTTCGAAGTATATAAAATAAAAAATGTTATATAGGTACAATAAAATATTTACATATAAATTTTGTACATTAAATGTATTAACTGTTATAGACATTTATTGATCACATCAACAATCTTACAATAATCTTATATATACATGACTCAATTAATATCAATTATATGTATACAGTCAATATATTGTAAAATCCTGATAAGTATAAATTATGAAAGTAAACACAATTTTTATTGTAAAACTTATGCCCATCTAGTATTTTACAGTATTGTTATAAAACAATATGCTATGTTGTTGTTTTATTCATATAGACTAAGTATCCTTTTGAAGATAAAATGCCACGACACTTCACATGTATTTGATATCTGGCAACCCAATATAACTTGACATCAGCATTAAATATTTTATTTAATTCTTCTGCAGGAATAATTTCTGTAATTAGAAAAAAGATATTTAAGATACAGGTCTAAAAAACTTTATTATTAAACAAAAGCAACTTACGATCAGAATCATTGTGTGTCAACAATTGCACATCATTTTCTTTTGTGAATGACTGCAAAGCAGGTGGTACTACACAACATGTAGCCAAGCTAATTTGTACAATGTTAGGCTTCACCTATGTGATTAAAAAGAAAGACACAAAATTTATATAATATTATACATCCAATTATGCAGAAAATATAAAAATTATGAGAATCTTACTTTTGCCCATTGAAATAAGTCAATAAATATATTTGTACTAATGTCACTTAAACCAACGCTTGATAATTTACCAACTTCAACATATTCTTCTATTCCAATCCATAACTGTTTCAAAGATGATAATAGATCTTCAGAATTTTCTTTGCCTGAATAGGCAATTACTAAAGATTCAATTGCACTTGTATTCAAATAGTTGCAAACTATAAAATAATATATTGTAAAATAAATAATATAATATTATTATACAAAATAATAAATTATTATTTTTTTACCTTCATCTATACTTTCTTTCAATAAATTCACATTAGTTGAGGACATAAAAACTTTTACAGTTATTTTAACTTCCTCTCTGATAACATCTTGTAAAGTACTATCTTTCTTTCCTGTTATCTAAAAACAGAATAGATCTTCAAGCATTTTATAACATTAAGACATTTGTATTCTAAAATTAAGTAGAAAATGTTTATACGTACAGCCACTGGATTTTCACCACTAGTTTCGTTATGTTGGAGAACAATCTTTAGAGTTTCGATTAGCTGAAAATATATTTCACGAACGTCATAGTGACAGTACTTTACTATTATAGTATAGACATAACCTCCAGAAATAAAATTATTTTGGAAGGACATTCATAAACTTACCTCGTCCGTAGGATTCTGACTTGTTTTTGTTTTAGGTTCATTTAAGGAAAGTATATTTCCCGTATATATCAACACATTTTGCGACAACATAATGCAGCATGAATTTTAAAGAAAAGCACTGAAGCGTAGTACTCCGAACATGTAACGGAAAGTGATATCATAGATTCTAGTCGTGGCTGTCGTAAGATTAACTGTTTCAGATGACTTTAATCACCGATGACGGACCTGACAACGCAATTTTCCAAGTAGAGATATCAGATACTATAAATCGAAGTACGAAAGATACACATGATGTCATGGTCCTTGTAGTTTCAACTTATTAATAATTTACATAGAATTTTTTGACAGAAAAAATGTTCCATTATATTGATTTAATTTTGAATGTCAAAAATTAGAGTAATTGAAATATTCAGAATACTCTACTATTTAAAACATTTTCATTTCAAGTTTTTACATGGAACTACATGTATCGATCATTTGTCTTAGAGTTGTAGAGGAACTCAAAATAAATTTTGAAAGTAATAATAATAAAAATGAAATAATAATTGGACAGTAATCGTATGCAATCAGTGAGTAATATATGTAACGTATTTTTCTTAAGAATTTTGAACCTTTTAATACAGAACTATGTAATTCAATTACTACGTTAGAAGTTTTATATCATTTGTCGTTATCGTAAAATTTGTTTTGAGTTTCTTTGCATTAGTTATATACGTTCTAATAAGGTCTTTGCAAGTAAAAGCTGCATTCAAGGTTCACAAATTAAATTACGATCGCAGAATATCCTTGTGATAAAATTATAACACATACAATTTTTTCTAGTAATGGTATTGTAATTAAAAATTTTATTACGAATTTAAAAAAAATATTTTTAATAGGTACGTATACATAATTCACGAATTCCCCTTTGTTAAAAAAAAATTACTCTTGTTATGTAACGCAACAATTATAGTAACTGAATCCTATTCAAATTTTTCTCTAATTGTTATTTTTGTATTTGTGAAGTATACTATAATTGAGCTTTCTTCTGTTTTACATTTGTTTTAGTATATTTTAGTTTCGATAAAATCTTTAATATCAAGTTGAAAAAGTCGCAATATTTAGCATAAGACGATCTTTGTATGTTAACTTATTTTTCTATTTAATTCGAATCTTACAATTGATACTGTACTTTTTTATAAAGCTATCTTCACGTGGATACTGATTTAAGACGCATGCGTATTTGAAGTTGATTTTGTGAAAAAGTCAAAGTATCACTTTTATATAAATTTCCTGTAGTAGAGTATTATTCATATACAAGCGAAATAAAATTGTATGGGTAGTTACAGAATATTGTTACAGTTTTTTCAAATATTTTTCCGAAGTCAATTTCTACTATTATAATTAATTATTATGTTTGCAATGTAACATAATGAAAATAATTTTTTAAGTAGTATGAAATTCATGAAACTACATATATATAGTGTAATTAATTGTTTTTTATTTGTAATAAAGTATTTAATTACAATATCTCTTAATGGAAAATTAATAAAAAAAAATTATATCTGTATGATACTACACACTGAATATAGCCGCGCTTTTAAACGTTGTGACACTTTGTTTTCCTTATTTATTAGCAGGTAGAAAATGATGGGGATATATCTCAATTAAAAAATAAAAATGTTATTTAGAAATATATAGTATCGAGAAATGCAACAGTTTAAAGATTTTAATATTATGACTTTTAACAAAGTTTCATGTCTGTGAAGATAATGTAGATGCTTAGGCCTCTCTATAAAATAGGTACATCATGACGGAAAGTGTGACGTGCAAAAAATAAATCGATGTTCTGTTTATCATTTACCGTTCGGTATCTTGCATTGAAGCATTTACTCTGTAAAAACATATAGAAAGAAAATAATAAACCTATAATCCTATAATTTAAAATGCCTGTGGATATTGCTGCATACTCATATGCAGCAGCGATAGCAGTAGGTGGTGTAATCGGTTATGTAAAATCAGGTAAGTTTAATTTTGTTAATAATTTTATTATCTGTAATTAATGGAAAAGTAAATGTCATTCATGTAACTTCACCATTTATATTTTTACTTTTCAATTTTCTCTATTTTCAAAAGTAATTAACGCAAATTGCTTCCTATAATAAGTCAGTTTTTCTTTTAAAGCTTCCATTCCATCCTTGGGTGCTGGACTTCTGTTTGGAAGCATTCTGGGTTATGGAGCTTATCAAGTTTCAGAAGATCCTACTAATATCGGAGTCTTTTTAGGAGCTAGTACAACTCTTGGTGGAATGATGGGTTATCGTTATTACAACTCTGGTAAATTTATGCCAGGAATCATTGCTTTGTTTAGGTATTAATTTTTATTCACTTATTTTTTTATTATTTCATCTGTTAATGGAAATTAAAATAACATTCAATTTTTTTCAGTATCGCCATGATGTACAGAACTGTAAATAGATATTTTGTTAAAACTTCTATGAAGACATAATAAGTATGAATATTTAAATTTCATTATGATTTGGGATTAAAAACATCGATAATATTTGGATAGACTGCAAATAATAGGTATTGGTGTACATTGTTGTTTAATTTTTTACAAAAATAAATTGTATATGGGAATATAATATATTGTATTATTAAAACAAAATATACATTGAATGTTTAAAATATTATATTCAAATATAAGGTAATCCAATTAAGATTCACATATTACTAGATTCACAACTATATTATTAGATGACTTATTTCTTATTAATAGAAATGAAAATAATAGATGTTTT